CAGGGTGGTTTTCGTCCTGGCCGTGGAACGCTGGACCAGCTCTATACCCTCAGCGGGGTCCTAGAGGGTGCATGTGAGTTCGCTCAACCAGTCCACATGTGTTTTGTGGACTTGGAGAAAGCGTTCGACCGTGTCCCTCGGGGTATCCTGTGGGGGGTGCTCCGGGAGTATGGGGTACCTGGCCCTTTGTTACGGGCTGTTCGGTCCCTGTACGACCGGAGTCAGAGTTTGGTTCGCATTGCCGGTAGTAAGTCGGACTCGTTTCCGGTGGGAGTTGGACTCCGCCAAGGCTGCCCTATGTCTCCGGTCCTGTTCATAACTTTTATGGACAGGATTTCTAGGCGCAGCCGAGGTGTTGAGGGTGTCAGTCTTGGTGGCCTTAGGATCGCATCTCTGCTTTTTGCAGATGATGTGGTCCTGTTGGTTTCATCAAGTCGGGACCTACAGCTCTCACTGGAGCGGTTCGCAGCCGAGTGCGAAGCGGCTGGGATGAGGATCAGTGCCTCCAAGTCCGAGACCATGGTCTCTCACCGGAAAAGGGTAGAGTGCCTTCTCCAGGTCGGAGCGGACGTCCTTCCCCAAGTGGAGGAGTTCAAGTACCTTGGCGTCTTGTTCGCGAATGGGGGCAGGGAGCGTGAGATCGATAGGCGGATCGGTGTGGCGTCTGCAGTAATGCGGGCGCTGTACCGGTCTGTCGTGATGAAGAGAGAGTTGAGCCTAAAGGCGAAGCTCTCAATTTATCGGTCGATCTACGTTCCCACCCTCGTCTATGGTCACGAGCTTTGGGTAGTGACCGAAAGAACGAGATTGCGGATACAAGCGGCCGAAATGAGTTTCCTCCGCAGGGTGGCTGGGCTCTCCCTTAGAGATAGGGTGAGAAGCTCGGCCATCCGGGAGGGCCTCAGAGTAGAGCCGCTGCTCCTCCAAGTGGAGAGGAGCCAGTTGAGGTGGCTCGGGCATCTGATCAGGATGCCTCCTGGTCGCCTCCCTGGGGAGGTGTTCCGGGCTCGTCCCACCGGGAGAAGGCCCAGAGGAAGACCCAGGACCCGCTGGAGGGACTATGTGTCCCGGCTGGCCTGGGAACGCCTCGGGATCCCCCCGGAGGACCTGGCCGAAGTGGCCGGGGAGAGGGAAGTCTGGGTTTCCCTGCTCCGGCTGCTGCCCCCGCGACCCGACCCCGGATAAGCGGAGGAGAATGGATGGATGGATGGATGGATGGATAGTACAAAATCACAACAGCAGTTATCTATCAGCACTTTCCAAACATAGCAGGTCAGACCCTGCTCTGTAGTTATTTGCAGAAGCTCAAAAATTCCCACAAAGAGCGAGCACTAGGCGACACAGGCAAGGAAAAACTTCCTTTTAAGAGGCAGAAACCTCGAGCAGAACCATGGCTCAGGGTGGGCGGCCATCTGCCTCGGCCTGTTGGGGGTGAGAGAAGGAGAGGGCAAGAGAGAGAGACGGGGGGGGGGTCAAAGGGAGCGGAGGGAGGCAGCCTACACAGTAACAGATAGACTGGATGAAAAACGGTAAAGATATTGATAGTA